TTTTAGACTGGAAACACCCCAAGCCATACAAACCATATTTTGGGGGGGTAACATTTTTTGGACCCCCCCCCCCATTCAAATTCTCAAGTAGCATAGTTACTTGATAAACCATGACTTACTCTTTTAGGCAAGTTCACTTTTATCTCTGGTTTCATGATTTATTAACAAAATTCACAGCTGTCATGTTTATCTTAATTAGCATATTTTTGTAACCCTCCTCTAATCGTACAATTTAATTTATGTGTCTGAATTTCATGAAATGAGAAGAAAATATTCTATTCTAAATGGAAAACCAAGTTTAATGTCAATTTGATTACTTAAAAGGCAGTACTTGACAATTGAAATTGGTTGAAATTCCACAAAAAGTCTTGGCTAGTTAGTGTGAAATGTATGCTGGGAAAATAGGTGTCCATTTTTCACATGGTATTTTATGGCGTCGGTAAGAAGAGGGTTAAATATAATAAGCTTACCATATAATAATACCCCTATCTATAAATTTGAAATATTATAATGTATATTGACATATTAAACAGTGAATGAAGGCATGGTATGTATGGACGGGGACAAAAATGAAGGTGTTTGCAAAGATGACAGAGATATTAAATTTGATGATAATGGATTTGAAGAAGGTTGTTATCACCCCAACAAACCATGCTGGCTGTTTAACTATTGTGAAGGACACATGCATTGTTATATCACATTTGAAAAAGAAGATGGTACACGTTTAGGTAGGCTCACATTTTTTACTAGCATTTGGGACGACTATTTATGTTATGAACGTCGACAATCTTACTGCCTACAGGTTGTTTGTGCTTTGTAATACATACTTTCTATAATTATTATAATTACGTGAAACAATAAACTATAGTTAATGAACATATTATTGACATTAGTTCTGCATGTAATATATTAGATACATTGTAACGTATGGACGGTGGGTTTCATATTAATGTGATAATGAGTTTGAAGGATTAGAAGCCCCGTATACTTTTCTTAGGGGGTGATAAAATAAGAGCTTTCGGCCTGGTAGCTCATGAATATTCTTGCATAAATTTGCATATTGTGCGGAGCTCCGTCGAGCTCTCTGAATGACAAAGCAGCTCATCGGAGCGCTCCAGAGCTCCTCGGTTACCGGGCCGGAAAACGCTGGTTTTATTTTGATCACCTCCCATAGTGTAGCTAACAATTCAATGACGAATACGACTACAGCCAACTTAAATAAACCCGATAAATTTGATATCTACACATTATTTGACTGACACATTCATAATGGGAGAATATTATACGGATTACATGCAATATTATAATCCATATAATGCAAACAGAGCAAATATATGTGATTTATGTTACTTTGTTTCATTGTTACTGCAGATAAAGCATGTATAAGCATAGGAGGATATTGTGTAAAACCGGGAACAAGATTTGACGGAATACTTACGAAAAACTTATGTCCGTGTGATTATGACTGCTATGTTCAAGTCAGTATGTACGAGTTAAATACAATTTCTCAATTTTAACTTTATAATGGATATAATATACCATACTTCTATTTAACGATTATAATGCATGACCAATTTATCTTATCTTAGAATATATGATCATTAAAAACGATTGTATTGAAAATTATAGCTGTGTTTTCAATAGGCAAGTTTACTAGCAATTTGTAAATTCACAAATCATATTGGTAGTTGTTTTGCAATTTAAATAATCGCAAAGTAGTAGGCAGATAATATATTCAATTTGTGTAAGTATATAGTAATGTAATGTCATAATTCAAAGAGAATTAGGAGTTGGTGAGGTGTACCTATCCAATAATTTATTAATTATTATTTTCGTTTAATTCAGCTGATGGATTGTGTGTGTCGCCAGATCACTGTCAACACATAGATGCCCCTTGCGGAGGAACTAAAAATGGTGCTCTATGTGATGGTGAAGATTTTGTTTGCTGTGTTAGTCATACTTGTAAGTGCTATTGTTTTGTGCATTATCTACGCCGACGGAATAACGAATAGCAAATAACAGATTTCACTAATAAAAATGTCACAGATCATTGACAGCACAAGCCACAACAGAATAAGTTGATGAAGTATCATTCGAATTAAATCCATCCTGCCTCTCCTATTCATTGTTCTGTATTCAACAGATGACGGCAAGTGTACCAATGATCCCCCAACTGGTGTTAAGGGAACATGTAAAGACAACACCGAAGAATGTGATGGTTGGTACGTAACTGACAGATGTTCCGGTCGTGCTGGCAGGCAGTGCTGTGTCCCTCATGGAAGTAAACAGATTCATTTAATTACTAATTGAATAATATGTGTTTTAAAAATCATATTTTTGTTTCAAAAAGTAGCTTTTGCTATATAAGCTAATTCAAACATGCTTTCAACTAGTTTTCTGAAAACTGTTCACAATAGACAAATGATGATACAAAAATTGATACTGAAAAGTTTGTTAAAACATCATTGTGAGTCACAGCGAAACAAATTTATATCATTGTTAGATGATGAGGAATGCACTAACAAACCTGGAGCTGCGTGTATGGATATCAGAAAGGAAGCTTGTGAGGGTGATTACAGACCCGGATTATGTTCAGGACCCGCATATAGACAGTGCTGCATACCCGGGTATGTGTGGTTTAAACCATTTGTATTTTGTGATTTAATTTATTTATTCAAGTCAGTACAAGTTGGGTACAAGTCAGTACTTTTACCCATGCTGAAGCTTTTCGAACAAATCTCTATTTTTGTGAAATTATGTTTCTTTTCAAGTGCAGAAACTTAAAATATATATCCTATATACATACTGAAATCATATTTCTAAGTTGAGATTCCTTTTTACACATTTTATTACTATTATCTAAGTTACGCTAGATACACGCGTATACGCCACAAATAACTAAATAACACCCCATTTACGCGTTTTTTTACTTCGGCTTGCGTACCGTATTTTATTCAGAGGAGACCCCCTCTCAGGGCAGTA